ACACACAGTACACAGGACCACGGCTCTGGGGCCGTCACGGCATCTTAGCTTGTTTTGAATCCTGATCAGGTGGCCCTAACACTACACGTGACGGTTTCAGTTTTAATGTTTAATGATTCAGCGTCCAGTGTGGAGGATTTAGGAGACTCTTAGCGATGAGTTGCAGATCACAACTCCCTCCCTTCACCCTCCTCTTTCAAGAGTGAAAAAGAAAAAAGAAACTATGGTGGCTGCTAAACACACAAAAAACGCTAATACCCTTATCTAGAGCCAGTGTTTGATTTGTCCCTTCTGGGCTACTGTAGAAACATGGCAGGCTCCCCCTACCCATGGTGTTTGTAGACATAAATTCTAAGGTAACAAAAAACAGAACCATTCCTATTTCAGGAGATTATACACCTATATTCTACCAATAGATCCTCCTAAATGTTCACACTGGACCTTTTAGTGTTCACATAACTTGTTCTGTGATCAGATGCGGACTCTTTATTTTTTTATTTTTCTCGTTTAGTTTTTAGGAACAAAAATTAATAACACTTTTGTGAATGAGGCTCTTGTTTAAACTTCCCTTGATCTGTAAGACAAAGTACATATACACTGGTTGTTTATCGCATAATTAAAATACTTTTTCTTTTTCTTGCTTCCATAGTTACAATCATTGGCGGGATCGTGTTTCTGGCATTTGCCTTTTCTGCCCTGTTCATCAAGCCAGATGCTGGATTTTAATTGGAAGATGGACTTTCAGGTTTACTCTGTACATACGTGTAAAATTTGGTGACATTGCTGGGACTGTAGTTTTGACTCTGTATGTGTCCAACAGAAACAGTGACTGGTTAAACAGCGAGCTGAAGTCCTGTCCTCCTCTCCTGGAAGGCCTCTGTTCCACTACAGTCTGTAACTCGGTGGGGTTTCCTGTCGAGGTTGAATACTTTGGTATTATTTTATTAGCATTAACTAACATTTTCCTAGAGTCTGAACCGGTAGTACACATCAGAGCCTCATGGGAGGTGTAGTTGTTGAATGCTAATAAATGTTTAGTCTTTATGAAGTACAGACGTTAGATACACATTAAGCTTTTTCCAGAAACCCCTGGTTTCATAAAGTGTGTTGAAATTAAACTATCCAATGAGAAGAAGAAACTGAATTACAGGGGCTAGTGGTGAGAGGGGGCAGGACTGTGGCTCTCTTAGAGCTGTGTCCTCATCACAAGGTGTGTGAGTAAGAAGAATGGATTGTTACTGATTGCTGCCCCCCCCCCAGCCGTCTCTGTTAGACACTGAGTCCATTTCTAAATCTTTGCCTTTTTTTTTGTTTTTAAATGTTTAATGGTTAATTTTGTATAACATGAGCCCAGGTGCTGTCAGGTGACTGACAGAATAGTAACTGTAGACCGAGCTGCCAGTTTCCTCTTACAGGAGTTGGCTGGCGTTGTTTGGTTTATTCCACCGTGACACCTTTTCGCCATTGCAATCACGTGGGCCTACTTTACATAAGATTTTAATTTCCAGCTGTGAGTAAAAACACTGAAAACAGATCCAACAGCACATAAACTTATGTAATTTGAGATTTTATTTGAGGCAAAGATGCCATTATAAAATATTTCCCTTAGTTAATCCTCTGTTTCACATAGAAGCAGTCTTTTAGAGAGAGAGACCTGAACCACTAGAATACCTCTGCGTCCAGGTGTCGCCTGTTGGAATATCTGGTGGAGTACTTAAAGAGCTACACCACAGCTTAAAATAGCTTATGTGCACCTTTCCAAAATGCTAACCACATATTGGAGATATAGATCGGGGGACTTCATATTTCCTGCTTCCAGTTTCAGGTGCCGATAGGGAACAAAAAATAAATGGATTGGGTTGAAGAAGGGCCAGTAATCACCTCAACGCACAGGTTAACTCTTCCTCAGTGATGAAAGCCATTTCCAGTATGAACCTCGCTGCCTGCACTGTCGCTGCCCTGAATGACAGAATCAGTGAGTAGTAACCATCATGTAATTTATCCAGCACAAACCCTCAGTACAAGTCACTCCTTTGGCCATAAGCAGCTGTGTTGTAGCTACAGTGACACCTGAACACGGCAATGTAATTCAAGCCTACGTTTCACCTTTTATTTAAAACGGTTTCTATTTATTTAGCTTCATTTTCTTTCTCTTTTTTAGCAGATGTACTGTAGAAACACAAAAGGGGGAGAGGTACCTATAAATGAAGGAATGGAAATATTTTTTTAAGCAAACAGGCTAAAGCTGCATTGTCAATATTTGACAGGCTGTGCCCAGCTGTGAAATACTTCTGTTTGTCATACAGGTTGGTTGAAATGCCTATAAATCTAAAATACTCAATAAAAATGTTTCATGTGTTGTCTGACCATTTGTACTGTATTGAGCTGAGTGAACAACAACAATGAACAAACCTCAGAAATCCAGCAAATGAAGCAAACAACTAAAGTCAACACAACACCAGAGACACTTCATTAGTTTTATTTTACAAATTGTAAGGGGGGCAAACGATGGATACATTTGCCTTAAAAGGTTATGTTTTAATTTATGAATGGTTTGGCTCAAGAAATGAATGCAAGGCAGCAGGCACACACACCTGTGAAAAGAGCTTTTAGCATGATTTATAATGCATTATGGGATTGTTTATTGAGAAAATGCAACCCCACACACCAGTTTCACATCATTTCCAAGAATGTAGTGTTTGATAGTTCATCTGCGGTTAAGGAGCCTAAAGCTGAACAGCAGGTGGCAGTAGTGGATCCTTAATCATTGCATCTCATAGCAGGAAAATAGAAACGGTATGTTAAGATTTCAGTGGGAAATCTACAGAGTAGCATGTAGGGCAGAATCGAAAATAATTTTAATAAGGCCATCCTTTAAAAATGACGAGTTGTAACTAATGGCTTTATTAATGGCTCATCAATGATTTAATAATACTTCATAAACAGTTAATACCATTACTCTTCAGTCATTCATTCAAACATTTGCCAATAGACCTTTTTCACAGCAGCAATTTTGACAAGAAGTAGTAGGGTAAACACAGGCTTTATTTACTGCCTTTCTACTCGTCTGCTTTGTATCGTAAATTAAAGATTTTCAACAAAAAGTTAGAAGATCTTACCTTGAGCTCTGGGAAATTGTGATGGAGATTAATGAACAATGAAAATAATTAGTTGCAGGCTTACAGTGTTTACCCTTTGGCTTTGGTAACAATGCAGTAATACATGTTAATAAGTCATTTATAATGTTTTAATCCATCAAATCTGTAGCTGTAAGTGCTAGTAAGACATTTAAATGGTGTTTTAATCCATCAAGTCAGCCATTGTGGTTAAACGGTCTCAGAAAGCCAACGGAAGTTTTCACAGCCTGGCAACCTAAAGTTATTCTTATTATTGGCTTATAAAGCATTACTAAATGTCTTTCTATCCATTAATAAAGCCATTAGTTACAAGTTATAAAAGGAGCTTTATTGCAAAATGGTGGCAAACATTTCAAACGATACCAAACCGTTTCTCAATGCAGGGCACACCTGAATCTGTGACGTCAGAGCGGGTACCTCACGGTCACCGGCTCTGATGTCACTGATTCAGGTGTGGCCACACTGTGGGATTCATGTGGATTAACCCTTAATTTAACAAGGTGTTTAGTTTGTGGTTTTTTTTTTTGTCATTGTTGTTGTTGTTGAGTGTACTGCAGCAGTCAATTTCATGAGCCAAACAATTAACGCCACACAAACATGAACTCAAAACGGAGAGAGAACACTAATAGACATTCAGAGTTTCTAGTGTGTACATCAGAACTACACAACATTTAACACAATGCACTGTGTCCTTTCACTTAGGGCTGGCCTTCTTGGGTTTCCCTCTCTTTGGATAACAAAACATTTTCCCTCATGATTCTGTAACTTGGCAATGACCAACTAATAACTTTGTCTTTTAAAAACATTGTGTCGGTTCCAACAACTTCCTGCATGGAGGAAAACATTTCGAATGGCAGGTATAGACCCTTACATTTGATACAAAGTCTTGCATATCCATAAACTCACAGGTAACCCGCTCTTTCTGGGGGAAATAGGTTCAACAGTCTTTATGTGTATGTCACAGTTCGTTTAGATCCTCCATGTTACTTGATTTTTAGGTTTTCACATTTTAAAGCAGTGTTGTCACTGTGTTTGATGTCACGTGTGTATGGTAGCTTAATGAGGTCTATTCCGGCGATAGAAAAATAATTCTCTAATAGTTCTCTCTGTTTACTGCATGTCCTACCATACATTGTGCAATGTCTCCCACAGCCACACGGCTCCTCATGCAAAATATTTACGTTAATTATATTTAATTATATATATTATAATATCCCTACATTCCTGTAGGTATATTGCACCACTTGTGTCACACTCGAGTGCTGCTTGCATGTAGCATGGGACCAGGTTCACTCTACAGGTCTCCAAGTGTTTAGCAGAGAACGGTTTTCTTATTTAAATATTGATATGTGTTGCAGCACCACAACTGATTTTAACAGAGGAGTGCTGTGTCAAGGTCCAGACTATGAGGCCTACGATACTCTAACTAAATATAGTCTTTCTGGAACTGTATGCAGTACAGAAACAACACAGTGGAGGAAGCTGGTATTAGGGGCTGTACAAAAATAATTAGAGGGGGAAGTGAGGTCAGAAAAGGGGGGAGGGGTTATGGCTTTATTGTTTTTGCTAAAGTAAAATTAGTAGTAAGTCAAAAGTGCCTTGTGGATCATATGGTGTCTTCTGCCCCCTGTAACAGGACTTTATTATTTACTAGTAGGACCAATATGTCAGGTTTTAGAAACCGTAGATGTGGATTATTAGCATTAGTAGGTGATGTTTTAGCATAAGTAAATGTGTCATATAGATATAAGACATGTTTAGCACAACCCAACCAGTACTACTGATGGGTGAAGATAAAATATTACAGAGCTGCTGCCCGCACCATGTTCACTCATTCAGTGATACTGGTTCTAATTATTTAATTTTGTAGCTCTGGAAAACAGCTGGAATGATCTGTTGCACAATTTGTGTTGTTTTGGCAACTGCTAATTCCATTCCTATTCTGCTACGTAAAAATCCCATTTGGGTTACGTAAAATGTTTTGTCCCATTAACATTTAAAACCAAGTTTGAAGTCGTGGTGAGGGTCCAAACTGATTATTAATACCCTTGGAGGGAGTCCATCATAAGGTTCAGCACCCCTCCCTATCCCACTCATGTTTGTACAGTCCCTTAGATGTCTTCACTGAAATGTGAAAAATGAATGAGTGAATAGATGAATTAAGTGGCCATACTCAAAACATGATGTAATCTTGACGCTGCATATAGCATGTGACTATAATGTAGACTCCAAAGAGAACTACATACTCCACATGGGCATGTACCATAAAATAACCAGTTATTTATGCAATGACAACTTTAACCAACAAAGGCAACATGACAACCACTTTAAAAAAAGACCAATCACATAAATATGATGCAAGTCAAATGTACTCTGAAATGAGTGATTCAAAAGTTAAACACACATTGGGAGCGATTCCCTAATAAGGTTCAATAAGGTTCTGCATGTTCAAACACAGACTGAGCTGGGCTTGAGGGCATATCACAATAGAAACAGCAGCTGTTACTTGTGATCATTTATTTCTCCCCTGACAAATCCAAACTGAGTCACTTTAACCTCTTAGAAAGGCTGCTTGGGTATGCCAATTTATGGGTCCTATATACCAAAGCAGTGAGCCACAAATGAGTTAGGCCAAAGGTCAAAGACCAACCATGTATGTATTTCACCAGACACGGTCATTTCACACAGATGAAGAATGGGCCGAGTTGTCTGCCTGATACCATCTGACCGTGAATGAGATCAGATGGTGAGGAGGCTGCCAGGCAAGCCTGCTAAACCAGAACGTGGAGGGGGTCTACGTCTAATCTGCTCAGCGTCACCTTGAGTTTTGACAACAGTGTCTTTCATTGAGCAGACACGATGGTGGTCCACATTTTCAAATAGTACTGAATAAGGAAGGAAGGTGTGTTCCAACTATTAAAAAGCTCATGAAAGCATATACTTCCAATTAACTAGGAATTTGAAAAAAAAAACAGTCTTTAAGTGTTTTCTGTGGAATTTGCCTTACATGGACAGTATCCTGTATCCATTGTTATTTTTAAAGCTGCTATAATCAATATTTGTATATTAACAATGGATCACATGACTGTCTGCATGTAAAAGGGATTGCTCAATGATGACCCCACAGAGAAATTGTTTCTGGGCTTTGCAGTTTCCCTCAGCTCTACAGAGCTTTTTAGCATCTTTGAGCTCATTGTTTTGGTTTTCTTGACGCAAATTTTACCGTTTTGGTTCCCTCCCACAGCTCTCATAGCGCTGTTTAGCAGCAGCAGGCAGCTTGCAGTGGAAAAACTCACTTTACAACCCACTGTACACAGCCGGCCCAGCACCAATCGGCAGACAGACGGTTAGCAACTAGCTGGTGAACCTAATGGAGCAATTAGCAGCTAAAGAACCAGAGGAAAGCATTTGATTAGCCCGATGCTAACACAACTCATTCCCCTCAAGCTTAGTCTGAGAATGTTAACTACAGGTTGTACATTTTTAAATTTCAATATATTTGAAGGGATAAATATTTATAGATTGAATGAACCGTACCATACAGGCATTTTAGGTGGCTCTGAAATGGCAGCTGAAGTGCTAAAAATGAAGACGTAAGAATATGAAGGATTATGTTATGGCAAATCTTTTTGTTGCATACATATAACCATGGTAGTCTTCATTCACAACATTTGTGTTAAGTCTTTAGTGTATGGATTTTAAACACATTTTAAAAAGCTTAGAAATACTTTAAAACATTTCTCTATCTTTTTGACAATTATATGAAAATCTGTGAAAATGTGGGTCAAGGATTAAACAAACTGTGACACAACAAGCAGCATCGGCATAGTCTGCTATGCAGACACACAAACACGTCCCATAGGAGAAAGGAAGTCTGTGAAAATATCAGCCACTGAGCATTTTTAAGATCTTTTTTTCTCAGAGTACTAGAAAAAAAGCATATTCAAAGCTGCAAATAACAGACTACGCATTTCATTTCATGCATCATATAAAATATTAGTTCTTTCTTTTTCATTATATTTACATAATATATTACACTTGATGTTCTGTACAGTAAAAGTTCAATCTACACCACATTCTTAAAAATATTTTCTGACCCATAATTATTTTTACACGAAAAACAAGAATAGGAGAAAACATCCAAAACAAACAAGCCTCTGGCTGTTCTGCAGGACGTCCTTGAAGCTTGACAGAAGCTTCGCTGCATTAACTAGAGAGCTCTGCATACA